AATAATTGAATGTCTCAATTGATCTGAATGATCTGAATTTGCGAACGCGCAAAGTTAACATAATTAACTTGTACATTCTTCCCATTATATTATATTTTATCTGCTATTATTACAAAAAGTAAACTTAACTACTAAAAATAATAAGCCCAATATATTTTCTGGTAATTACCACGACAGCCGGTGACTGTCTGGCGGATAACCAGTTTTTGGCTTGATTCATATTGCCTCTCCACAAAGTTAACTGGAAACTATTCCACAGTCAAGTATCAGATCCAGCCGGTTATACTTATTCCACCACTCTATACCATATACTATTGCTTCCAGATATTGTAGTATTGTCTCATTATGCTATGTCCAAAATACCATAATCTAGGATCTCATCACTAAGATATGAACTCTACCAAAAATTGCCTGTTTCGTATTTAAAACACCAAAAGATCATGAATTAAGAGCGTTTAATACAAAACCAAACCAATATAACAGAGAATGGATCGAAGGTGTTAGTGGTGGTGATAGTACATCCCTCTTTTGGTGTATAAGATTCCAGGCAGCACAAGATTTGAAAATTGTTACCAAAACACGTAATATTAGTGTTTGTCCATGCTAGCGCCACGTGTTATTTTGGTTGTAAGGGATGTTTAGTTGTGCAATAAAGTGTGTTCTAGCAACTGTCTCACCACCAAGCTTTCAGGAAAGAGAGTGTACATTAGAAACACCAACGTTGCTTTGCTTAAGTCCTTATGACTCCTTCATATAACCTCCTCCCAGAATCCTTTTTACACCCGCAATGTTTATGATGCGTTTTAACAACGCACACGACTTATCTCGCACAGCAATAAGAAGAGGACCGAATTTATTTCCGTGGTGATACATTGAACAAATGACGACATCTGCATAGACCTTTTCATCATGAATTTTCAGTATCGTGGTTACGTAATCATGGTTCCTGTATTCTTAAATCAGGAAAAGGTTAATATTGTTTCTCATGAATGGATCAGCTCCTTCCTATCAATGCCCAGAGCCAGATAAATTATCGAGACCCCTCATGTGTTCGGTATTGGCAAGTCATTGTTCTAGAATGAAGGCAGCAAGGTAAAACCTACTTACCTCTCGACTTGGATGGATGTGTTAGTAGTCCTTCTCATCCTAGTATGTCCCTGATGGAGCCTCGGATGAAGGTAGAGTCGAGTAGGCTTTGCTCTTTTCTACCCACTATCGGCACTAACATATGTTGATTTCCTAACCTTGTCAGAGATTGTTACTTGTCCGGACTAGATGTCTGGTGTTTTATCCATACCCTCAGTATCCGGCATTAATGGGCTCGCATCTGAAGGCAGTAACCGATGCCATTCTTTTTATCAGGTATAGGCTTCATGTTTATTCCTCAATTGATAGGATCCTCAATTGCATTTTTTCAAAGTATGATTGTCAACCTATATCTTCCAGGGTTGTAATAGATAATGGGCGAAAATCCACCCAAGTAGCTGGGTGGGTGTATTATGCCAGCCCTGATTCTCCGTACATTCAAGTTGTATGATGGCTAACTTTCAGTTCTGCCAGGTGAATCGCAGCCCATTTGGAATTGGCTACTTTTATGATTCTACTGACTCTTTCTTTTCTTTAAAACTTGCTTAAAAGTTAACTCGTAGGTCACACCAGTCTCTATAGCTAAGTCAATAATATCTCAATCATAACAGTCGTCATCACTCACATCGTACATTTACTATAAGCTATAAGCAACGTGACGACAGCTATATTTGGTATGGTACAACAATATCTCGTGATCCAGCAGATCAAGCAGGACAAGCCCACCTAGAATTTACTGCACCTTCACGCACAACTATTTAATGGATGCAATTTTTAAAGAAAGCTTTTTAAAGTACTTAAACTGTACTCTAAACTTAATATACAAGTTGCCATAACACAGTTTGACCAAAACTAATTTATTTTATTTATTTACTTTTCTTTGATCTTTTAAATCTTTGAGTTTAGTAAAAGTAATAAAACGTTAAAAATTCGATATGAATGAAGCAATAATGCGAGATGGATACATGTAGGAAGTCTATCTGCGGCTCTCCCTCGGAACCTAAGAAATTCAATAAAAGCGTATCCGAATGATTTCGCAAGATAGATGTCGGCTTTACGGGGCATATGAGTAGAGAGGGATCCCTACGGATCTCGTATGGTCGGGACGCCAATACCATTCCCTTTCCCTTCCTTCAAGATCCTTCCATCCGACAGATTCGTGTTTACTTTTTGGATTGCCGGGGCAGATGAATAAATGCGAAAACCAAAATATTTCTATTCGGAACCATTTTTTAAATTACAAAAATTTGTGAGATTCAGAAAAGAGCTTTTTTTTGGTATAAAATTGAGTGAAGTCTATTTGAAGATTATTCAGATGCCATAAAATTCCCGATGCGAAGTTATTTCCGTTCTACATCAAACTGTCTCAGAACGAAACTGCACTGCGGTCTTTAAAATTCCGAACGCATCCTCGTGCAACGTAACCATTTTTTACGACTTCTTGCATACGTTATTACGTAGCGAACGGTTCGCGTTGCATTCCCAGGCTTCCTGAAAATGCCGATTTCGTGTTAAAGTTTTATTAACTTTACCTGAGTTTTATTGCTTTTACTTCTACTTTACAAGCGTGAACTACTACCTGAAGCTAACGAACTCAAAAAAGAATTAAATACGAATTTTCTAAAGTTTAAGAAATTAAGAATTAAAGAAAAGTTTTGTTAAAAAAAATTGTTAATTATCTATTTATTTCAGATTCAACTGTATGGTTTTAATAAAGAACTTTACCACAATATGACCGAAGCACAACATAAATCCCAGGGAATAGTGGCGATTTCGTTAATGGTTCAGGTGAGTAAATAATAAATTAATACCCACATTAATTATACTGCGTAGTCGATTATGAAACTCGTGAACAAAACTAAAGCTAGCTCGATGGAGGAACACAAATATAGTGAGAGAGGGAATTTGGGAATCGCAACGCCATAAATAATTGACCGTATTTTAACGAACGTATTAAATATCAGGGGGAAGCTACTGGTTTGAATTTAGTACATTTCGTTCGTTACTATGTTGGTTAGATTGTCCGCCCATTATTAATGTATAATGATATATTTTACCAAACGTGTATCGATTGTGTAAAAGTAAAATGTCCCAGGTATTGGCGTAATATGCAAAATAATACGTATACAGTAATAATAGCATGTATGTGGTGATTAATAGTTTGTGTAAATGGTATACCACGCTTGTACAAAACAGTTTAGGTGAGATTGATTGAAAATAATGGCATAAAATACCATCATAAAAGATTAGAACTAGACTTCCGGTGATCCCGAATAGAATCAATACTTAAATTGCAAGGTATTCTGCAGCTAATCGTGTCATATAATACATAGCTCTAAATACAGAATAATTGATAATAATTGACTCAATTGATATATATCACTGGGTTATTCACGGTCCAAACACATACGCAACTTGGATTCTGAAGCCATTACGGTTCATTTTTCTAGCTACATTATTATATGAAATAAAATAAAGACTGAAGTTCTGCACTTCTTTAATTCGAGTTATATTCACAGCTTTAATGGATGATGAAATGAATCCCTGGAATTAAAGATGACTTAATTTTGAATGCAAAATGTTTCTGTTGGAAACGAAATCTGACGGATGGAATAGGTCCGCTGCAAAAAAATCACAAATCAGTTCTTTACAACTTCTAGATTATGAACTTCATTCAATAAACTTAGTAGTTTGTTGTGTTCAGATGATTTTGTAACGTTTATTATCAAATAATGATGTTGTCTAAAACTACAATTCAGATCATAGTTAATTAGAAATTGTAATATACCTAGGTAAACTTCTACACTATTAAGGTTAGAACAAAGATTGACAATGTAAATCAGATATAAATTGATCTTATAATAGATCCTTGTAGTACTCCTGAAGTAATAAAGCCGCTTCTTGATATTGTATCCTAGAATTTAATAAACTGAGAACGGTGTAGGAAATATTTCTTGAGAAAACTGTATTGATAATAGAAAGCAGATGTGTCTGAACACAGTATTAAATAATGGAGGGTGTTAGAAGCCTTAGATAAATTGATTAGGGCAAAGGATAATGGCATTCTTCTTACTCAGCCTATTTAATTATTAAAAAGAGCTGAAACCGTGGCGAAATCCAGACTGATTGGGTGGTAATAAATTGAGAACATTTAGATGACCCCAAATCCTCACAGCAACTTCTCTAAAATTTTAGAGGTAATATGTACAACACCGATCTTTTTCAGTAGGATTTTTGGATTTTGATGTAGGATACGATATGTACCGTACAGGAAAGTACGGTACATATCGTACTTATAATTATAACATATATTATAATTCCAAACAAGAATTGATAAAATGGCAGAAATATTGAATAATTGCAGAGCAACCCAGAAGTAACATCTTCACAATAACGCCATCACACCCAACTGCATTACATTTTAATAGATTCCAGAGCTCGAAAAATTTCTAGATCAGAAATCAAAAAAATTTACATACTACTAATAATTTAATAACTTTGGAGTTGTAACCTTATACACTCAATATCATAGTGTGTTTGTTGTGAGAAACAAAAAAAAATGTTTATAGAATCAGCGTATGCAATGTTGTCACGAATAGTGTCAGTTTTACCTTGCATTTAGGAAGAATAAGCCTAACCATTGTAACGCATCGTAGAGTTTCCTTATTGATGAAATTACATAATTCTTTGTAATAAGTAATAATAATGCTGATAATAATCAAGCAATAAACTTGAAGATCTAAAAACATTTTAATTTCTTATTAATTTTCTAAGTAGTTAAACATTATCCGTAATCCAAGAGTTATAACTTTTACATTAAATCGTGCTTCAAGAAGAGGCGAAATATTGAAGGAGTAATAATATTATAATAAAAGAGGAAACCTACCTCTGAAGTTTCTATAAGTAATGCATTTATGAGAAGGGTGATGCAGATAAAAAGAGAATGTAACAAAAATAAGTGAGTTAATGGTAATGTTATGTGTATTGAAGCATCTACTTTTATAACCACAAAGTCAATGAACACGAGATAATCTGCTTACTACTTATCTTGTGGTGCTACCTCCCTTGGTGAGATTTGGCCTTCTGAACAATCTGTCTCCACCCCACTCTATTAAGTATCGTTAGTCACACCGTCTATCTATCACTTTCTAGGTCGTTCCCTATTTGATTCCGTATATCTGGTCTTCTCGCAAATACCTTCTTTGCTTTTCTGGTTTCCCTCATTCTTAAGATGTGTCTCATCCATCTTATTCCTGGAGCTTTGGCAAACTAAACAATGTTTTCTCCTTCAACAAGGTTATTTAATTCTTCATTAGTACATCGTAAGTACGTTCCGTGCTGATATTTTGTGCCAAAAACTCTTCGTAATATTTTTCTTTCAAATATCTTTAGGCTGTTCTCATTTTTTGTTGTAAATGCAGACGTCAGAGTAATAGTTTTAATTTTCTAGACAGCAGTTTTGATTGGAATAACTTTTTGTGAACGAAGTAACATGCATTTCCATCTCTAATTCTCTCTTGTATGCAATGTTGTATGCTATTATCATTTCTGAGTAAAATGCACAGATAGTATCTGGGCATTAGGCATCTGGCAGATACCTAATGCTTTCCACACCTTCAAAGATCTACTAAGCGACAGTTTAGTTTTACGGAACTCTTTTATTTTAATCCTTAGACATTCTCATGTATTTACTCATTGATTTTTAGGCAAATTATTTTCGTTTTGAGTTCGAGCCTTACGAATGTTTCCACCATGGTGTACATAAAAGAGCAGGCTATTATTACTATGTCATCTGCCTATCCAATCACTTGATATGCCTTATTGAACATGCTGTCTCCGTTTTCTCGATAACTAATTGCATATTGCAGGGCTAGATTAAACTAGGCTAGTTTCGATTTTCTACCTTGTACTGCTTGTCATCATTGCCAAGGTGGCGAGTTTCTTTGGAATACCTTGCTTTATTAGTATTGATTCTAATTTGCTTCGATTTACGCTATCGAAGACTATATTTAATACTAAACTGCAGAATAGTAGGAATTCAAATACAATAAAAGACAACCATATCTAAACAACTAGCAAATATGCACTGCCAAAATTACAGTAAGATAGCACAAGACATCATCGAGTTGCGACAGAACTCATTGATAGTATATGATGGCGGTAAATAATACTAATAAGTATGGTAACGGAGTATTGATAAGTTCAATCGAAAGGTGATCGTTATCAGAAGATATTTTATAAAATAAAATATAAAATTTTAATGTTGATGTAGGTAATTTAAAACCAACTGCACTATTTCCACACGTATTATGAATGTGATATCGACTGGCAAAGAGGCATTGATTAATGGAATTTACAAAGCTTTAATATAAAGCTATGAGTTTCTTTGTAATAGGTTATAAAATTATGTTTTCTTGTCTGTCTAAACAAGATTTTTGGTGTTCTCAGTTGACATAGGCAAGCTTTAAATCTGAGAGAAACGAAAATCCCATATCAAAGTGACGAAAAAGAATGTTTTCTAACATTTCTTTTGTAACTGAAATGAGGTTTGAAAAACCTCCTTCTCATTGTCGTTCCAGTCAAACTCGTACTCATATTTCAGTAAGTATCGCAATAATTTAAGGGTAAATTCAATGCCAGGAAGGTGGAAGATGGAATAATTTTACATCATTTTTTATCTTTCTCTATGTGTTACCTGTTCTTATTAATATTATGAATCTAAAATTATGGCTTCGTTTTCTGCCTACTTTTGTTCTCTTCTTCGTCTACCACCAACCGTAAAAGCAATTATCTTTACGAAGTTTGAGTTGTAATTAAAAATTCGATTTATTATTTAAGTTTATAATTAATCAATAATAAAACACCTAAATAAGTAATAACTTATTTTTTTCAAAGCTAGAAAAATTAATTAACGCCAACGCAATAGGTATTGCGATCGTTGTTGTAACCGCGTCTATGTATTTTTCGTTTTATGTCTCTTTTAAAATCGCGATGTTCACAGATTGCTGCCTTCTATAAAAATCACAGAATCACTATTCAAGAGTCGGGTGCCAAAGATGGTTCCAATCCCAACTTGTCCGATGTCGGTAGTTCGAATTGCTTTTTTATTAACGAGCATCTCACTCATTGTCGGAGCAACAAGATCCTCTTTGGAAATATCAGGAGGGAATCCAACGAGGAAAGTAATAAATAAGGTCAACTGTGAGGCTCTAAAATATTTGTTCGAACACGGAAATGATTCGTCCAACTTTAATTAGAAGTTTTTTTGATATTAATTAGCATTTTCTGTTTACACATATCACATTTTTTACTTCTGATTGAGATATCATTTATTATAATAAATCTGCACCCAATTTATCAACTCATGTATTTTCCGTCCCAAATGCTCCCGATAATTGATTATCAAAAATAATTAATTTGGTTGCGAACTTTAATGCTTGGTATGACACTTCGAATGCGCTATGTAATGTAATGCATTAATAAGCAGCTAAATTACCATGGTAGTGCCTCAAACCAGACACAATCCCGACATAATCTTCACTATTTTTTTATACATCGTCTATTTCAGTAATATATCCTTTGATCCTTCAGAATACCGCTCATTCGGCGATAGAATTTACCTGCTAACATGGGCTTAAATAATTTATCTCACTTAGGCGTAATTACGCTAGAGGTATTTGGTGTGGTTTACACGCGATATCAGCAGTGTAATAAAAGATATTCAAATTCAATACTTCCCATTACAGTTATTTAAAGAATGTTCCAAGGTTTTCATCTATACGCTATGT